CTCTCTCTCTCTCTCCCTCTCCCTCCCTCTCCCTCCCCGTGTCCCTAGATAGAGTCTCACTATGCAGTTCAGACTGGGCTTGAACGCACTATTTAGCCCAGGCTGGCCTTGAATTTATGGTAACCCTTGTACCTCAGCCTCCCAAGTGCTGGGATTACAGGGGTGTACCTAGTCTTGCTTCACCTTTCCTTCCAAGTCCTTTTTCTGTAGTCCTTTAAAGTTAATTTTTTGTTTTTTGGCTTTACTTTTGGGCATTTGGAATCAAATGCTGCTTAGTCAGTCCATGGACTGTTTTTCAAGATTGGTTTTTTACCTAGACTTAATCTTATGCTGGCAATATGGGTAAACAATGCACATTATAAAAGAAATTTAATGTAAATATAGAGATAAGGGGGGTGAAAAGTATTAGTTTCCCTTCCCTCTTATTATTGCCACTCTAATCCTATTTCTTTCTTCAGGGATAACCATACTTAATATCATGGGTGTATCCTTCCAGATTTTCCATGTCCTTTTATATTTGAAAACCATTTAGTGAATGCCTTTAAAGTACCAGGCACTATTTTAATCCCTAGGGTTGTAGAAATAAGAGATGAGAGCTTTCAAGATGTTCATTATCAACTGAGACAGACAATTACAATGCAGAATGAGAAGTGCTGTGATAGAGGTAGTAATGGGTGAGGGACTGGTGAGCCTCCTGAACGAGCCAGTCCATTCATTCATTTGTTTTAATCCTTCAGCACACTGACAGAGAGTTTGTCCCTTGTGCTGGGGACACTGTGATAAATAAGACAGATCTCTCTGTAGCCCCGATGAGCTTGTTGCTGAGTTCAGGCCTCAGTCTTTCTAACCGTTGGTTACAGGAGGGGCTAGCTACAGGAAGGAGGACCACAGACAAGGTTAGAGGGTGTTCTGAGGGATGAGGAAGTACTTGAGAAGGAATTTCAGAATCTGAGTTGAAGAGGGAGGGTCCAAAGAGCTAGTCAGGGAGATGGTGTGTGGGAGCAACTGGAACAGTACAAGTTCAGCTTGGGAATGCGAAGGGAGTATGAGCAGGGAAGTGGCAAGAAGGGAGACAGGAGAGTCATTAGGGGCTGTCTGCCAGCTACATCTTTCCAGTGTTGCATGGGGTTTGGACTCATCAGTTGGCAGTATGTGATGGCTGAAGACTTCTGAGCAGATGAACATGGTCAGTTTGGCCTTTGGAGGAGTGGATTAGAAGGTGGAAGGAGGGAAATTTGAGGAAGGAGAGTCTCTGGGACTTAGTCTTTGGATGAGTGTGTGTGTGTGAGGTGGGGTCTCAGGGAGCAAGGCTTTTAGGGCAGTGCCCTGTTCTGGTTGGTTGTTGTGTCACAGCGCCATGCTCAGGAGTGGTCAGTAGCATGCATGTAGATGATGGGCCATACTTGGCCAGGATAAGTTTTAGGTGCCTGTGGGACTTAATGTTCCTTTGACTATATGAGGGATCTGGATATCAGGAGATGTCTGGACTCCAGTCACAAATTTGAGAGTCCTTAGCAGCACAGTTCCCAGACAGCACCTGAGATAAGCTACAAATTCAGAGTTAGGCATATCTTAAACTGTTGAGGAAACCACAGTGATTCACATCTGTCTAATTCTGGAAACTACTCCCATGATCGTCAAGTTTCTCAATTATATCACACTGTTTGACTTCAGCTTGGTAAAGAAGGTTTTTTTGGTGGTTATTGCACCATGTGAGAATCTGTGGGGAACCAGAAAGAGGGTGGTAGTTTCTAGTGTGACTTCAAGATTTGGGAAATTGTGCAGTGCTCAACAGGTGTGTATGTACTAATTAGCAAATATCTATGATTATTTAAGAATGAAATGAAAGTTTTGTTTTCTCAGTTGTATGTTTTTTTCAAATGGGTACTAAATTATTAGCATATAAAATTATTTCACTTGTTAAGTTTCATAACTCAGACATTTCTTTTGGTCTGAGACCAAAGTGCAATGAACAGAGAAAGTTTAGGAATCTTTGCCTTGTTAATGGAGCTGCAGGAGTAGATGAGGTTATTCAAGGAGCAAGCATGGAGTAGGGAAAATTGGGATAGAATGAGCCCTGAGGACCTCTAGAGCACCCAGGACCCAAATCCGGCTGTATTGAAAGGTACATGCCCTGAGACTGAGGAGGAGGAGGAGGTCATTGTGACCAAGGGAACCTAAGGCAAGAGGGAGTGCTTGGGAGCTGGGAGGTCCTTAGTAACAGTACAGGAAGAGCAGTGACAACACTGATGGGGATTGGGGCCAGAAGGTCAGTTGCGGGGGGGACAGTGAGTGGGAGTTGGGAAGGGGAGCTCCAGGGGTAAGACAGCCTCACTCAAGAAGTTTGGTGGTGGTAAAGGGTGGTGACAGGGAGGAGGGTACCAGGGGAGCTGTTTGCTTTTTGTTTTCACAGAGAGAGCTTTGAGCATGATCCAGTGCTAGTACAGAAACAAGGAGAGGATGCGGAGAGTGGTCCCGATAGGCAGTGGTTTAAAGGCTTCTGTTGGACTTAGCTTTTTCATATAATTAGTGATTTTGGCACGGATTATTGGTATGGATTAGAGAGTGAGGGGGGTAAGGGAGGGAGGGAAGCCAGTCAGGGCAGGCCATTCTTTTTAAAACTTGATTATGAGGAAGGAAAAAAGAGCATTAAGTTGAGAGGGACATTTCGTACGGGCTGATTTTATTTTCTAAGCAGTGACTTTTATGTTTTTAAAATGTATTTTTGAAGAATACTCTTTTCTTCTTTTCTGAAGACATGCTTTTCTTAGGACTGGCTAGTCCTTTGCAGGGTGGCTTCCTCTGGCCTGGCCTTGCCTTTCCTTGGGTTCGCTCCTTGAG